TTCAATTTCTTTTTGTTTAGTCACCAGGATCTATATTGTTGTTGCATAGCATCAGTGGACGGAAGCAGCTGAAAGTCTCCCTTTTCTACACGTAATCAGACAGTGTTTTACTTATACGGGTTTCCCTGCACTACTCTGACGACGCTCTAATCGGGGAATAGAGCGGTTATTGACTCAGTGATTTGGTTCGGATATGTTGAATTGACAGAAGAGTCATCAAAAATGAAAGCCACTATCAAGCACATTTATTTTACCCTGGAAATTTTAAGCTGGCAAACACACCTGTGGTCTCCTGATTGACCATGACCCTCCGCCCTGGGTTTCATATTCCTTGGACAAAAATGCTTTCAATGGAGAAAATCAAACTCTTCTCTTATGTCTAAATAGGATATTTTGTGATATTTTTTTGTGTGCCATAAACATATTCCAGATGATTGGTCTTTTTTGTGAAGAAATCAGTGTTTTCTGTATAAACCAAAGCTGCTACCTATTCCGTTGCTCCCTGTTTGTCTCCCAGCCGTCGTTTCCCAGCGGCGGTGCTCAGACAGCAGTGCTCTCGGCGAACTCCCAGCCCCCGGCCCCGGCTCCTCCTCAAGCCATTCAGAGACTAAAGGACCAGAACAGACTTCTCACTCAGGTTCGACACAATCCCACAAATCTTCCCCTGAAGTCCCTCCTCACCGTCCGACTGACGGTCTCTATTCCTTCTGCTCTTTCAGGAGGTGACGGAGAAGAGCGAGCGCATCACGCAGCTCGAGCAGGAGAAGTCGGCTCTGATAAAGCAGCTTTTTGAGGCTCGAGCTCGCGGCGCACATGACGCCAGCACCATGGATTCCACCTTTATCTGATTAGCTTCCAAATCATCATCAGAGACGATTCATTGTGCGGCCCAGCCAAGCGTATCCGCGCTGGTCTGAGGGAGAGCTGAGAGATTTCTGTTTACGTGGCTGAACATTAATGGCCGTTTTTAGGTACGGCGCACAACAACAAAAAAAAAGCGAGACCGGTCAACTACAAATCAAACCAAACGCTACCTGGATTGTGAACACTCCTGACCTGTGTGAGCTGAGAACAAATTCCTCTTACACTGACAAACAAGAGGACTCGTCAAAGCAGGCAGGTCTCATGATCACAATCACTCCATTTCTTCGAAGATCCCCATCTGGAAGATTAACACTCCTCCTCCTCCTTAAGGACTTTCTTTCATTTCTGCTGCTCAGCTGCACAAGGAACAAAACACAAACTTCACTGGGAGCAAAGCTAAAATGACACAGAAGGCTGTTTGGACAGCGCGGATGATTTGAGGGGGGATTTTGTTGGAATAACACGCCATACTCCAGCTAATGCTATCACTCAGTTGCTGTGACCTATCAGTCATTTTTTTTTAGTTTCATTCTTATATATATAATCGATATAAGAGAGGAATGTTCCTTCACTTTTAGTATTTCCTTCCTTTTGATATCAAATTATATTTCTTTCTGGTTTTTGAAGTGTTTTTACAAACACAAAAATCAGTAAAAAAATCTCTCTCTATATATATTTTATATTAGGATGTTACATATTCAGACTTGTTTTGTATTTTGAGTCTTTTTCACACATGAACTCAGTTCGGAGGAACATCTTAAAAACGTATTGAATGCTTGTGGCTCCCACAAAAATGGGTTTATAACCAGGAAGGCTTCTAAATAACTTCCTAAAGGAGCAAAGAGGAAATTGACAGTTTCTAATACTTTCCTGAAATTACTGATGGACAGTAACAGAAATATAATAAGTATACAAAGTAGGACATTTCAGTAGCATGTCATGAAGTTGAGCGAGACTAGATTGTATTAAGAAATCGATCAGTCTCATAATTACTCAATCAGCCTGAAGAGTAAACACATGATGTAACAATCTAGGTAGGACATAAGCTCATGGACTTGTATCTGCATGGTTTGCTCAGATTATATGTCCTTCACTACAAGCACAAGTTAATTAGCTGGAAATTTCCTCCTCTGGGGCCTCGTGAGCTCATTAATATTTTATTGCCATTCCGCTTGAAGGGCGGCTCTGAGATGTTCCGCACTTGCTTTCCTGAAAAGGACAACTTAAACTTTCAGAGCTGCGACGCATGTGTGGAAATGACTCAAGGTCAGCCTGCAAGCCCTTGAGAGGTGTAACACAAGGAGATGAGGAGAAACCTGGAAGTTTGCATGTGAAAGAAAGCTATGAGAATAAGTTCGATAGATGGTAAATATGTTGCAACAAGATTCTGACGCTATACCAGAAGCAAAAAGAGCTAAAAAAAAAAAAGAAAAAAAAAAGAAAACCAAAACTGCCATCTGCATGTTGCTACAGTGGATTTTTTTTTTTTTTTTTTTTTTTTTTTTTTGCTTGGATCTTGTTTAGAACTCAAAAATATTTTCCACTGAGAGATTTAACTTTGAAATGTAGAGATTAAAGGTTAGCACGGATATGAAAACCTGCATAGTCTTTGTACGAGTTTCCTTTTCCCAGATTCTTCCTGGATATGGATGCATGTAGACGTTTGAAAGCATGAAGCCATCCTCAAGTTTACAGAAGAATTTAGTTGGTGGGTGGTGGTACGGCCGAGATAGTTTCTAATGGTACTGCTGGGATGTCTGCGCAGGTCTGTTTCGCACTTGTTTAGGGTTTTTGCTGTTCACCCGATGGTATGTGGAGCCCCTTTTCTTTCCTTTGAGGGTACCATACTCCATAAGAGCTGATTGAAATGAATAAAAGTGCTTCCTAGCAGCAACTTTGGTTGCGTTTCTTTCCGCATCCACAATTTAATGTCTGCAGTTTGCTGCTTTTTATACAGTAATGCACAGAAGTGTCAAAGAAAAGATGCATAAAAACAAGAGGATTGACTAACAATCCTAGCTCCATTCCTTCTTTACCATTGTGTTTTAAGGATATCTCCTTAATTGTAAGCCAAAATGAAATTATTTTAATTTACAGAATGCATATATATATATATATATATATATATATATATGGCTGTGCTGCTGCAGCATCTGGAGTGTGTTCTCCCACTTCTGCAGAATTTACCAAACCAGTGGAAATTTTCTGCCATATGGGAAGGAGAGTCTCCTTCTGTTAAACGCAACACCTCTGCAAACAAGCAGAGGCGAAGGGTGCACAGAGGTAAACAAATCGCAGTCCAACTCCAGCAATAAACCAGTTCAAACAGCCTGAAACCACCTCAGAAGTTAATCGCCATAAATGCAGCACAACTGGCAGGAGAGTAAAGAAAGAGAGAGAAAAATGGGTTTAATGTTGTTTCACTTAATGAACTTTAGAGAGTGACTGCTGCACCCAGTTGTCTTTTAAATTTAGGACAAGTAGGAGTGGAAAGGTCAGAGGTTACAGGAGGTTATGTGGTGATTCTCGACGAACGCTGTAAAACATGCCTGCGTCTTTTACCATGTCTTAAGTGTTCCCTTGGAAACTACAGCCACACATTTCGATGCATTTTATTGTTATTTTATGGAGTATGGCAACATACAAGAAAAACAATGGATTGTTATTATTATTTTATTTTTTGACAAATATTAGTCTAAATGGTGCGGCATGTGTTTGAATTGGGCTCCCCACTGATTCAACACCATTTGCTGCATTTACAGCTGCATCTCTTTAGGTGTGACGCTCTTAGCTTTGCACAGTTAGTCAATGAAATTTATGTCACTTTGTTTTTGCAAAATTGCTCAGGATTAGAGTAGAACAGCAGATGACCTAAAGTGAGCTTTACCACCTGAGCCGAGAATCTCTGAATCTCCTCCAGAGCTCCAGGTAGGTTTGAGCGTCCAAGTTCTGGACGCTCAAACCTACCAAGCGTGAGTGTTTCCCTGTTTCGCAAGTTGCAAAAGAGGAACAAACTGCTTTGCAACTTGTTTCTTCCTTATTTCATCTCCACCCTGTTCTGTCTGTGTTCCTTGGGTTTCATCATGCTATTCTTTATGTAATGTTCTCTAAAAAGGAACATCTTTGAAGTCTTCACAAAACAACTGTATTTATTTCATGCTGAGTCTAAATTACACAAAGGCGGACTCTACTAGCTGATTGTGTGATTTCTCACTCTGATTTCATAAGCGTCAGTAATGGTGGCTGAGCACGAACGCACGCCACCGTTTTACATTTTAATTAGGGGAAAGGAAATGAGAAACACACATCAGCTTCCCTTTACTTCACCATTAAACGCTTTTTTTGTTGATCTATTGCATAACATCCTGATAAAGATCAGTTTGTGATCGTAACAGGTCGAAATGCAAAAAAAAAAAAACTTTCAAATTTATGGATCCCTTTGCAAGGCCTCGTAACATATTACACCATGTTACAGCGAATTTAATCAGTTATGATTTACAGGCTTGTTGCATCAGTTGTTTACCGCCGATTTTCCGTCGGGCTCTATCAGTTTGTTGCATCAGTGTCGATTGGTGTGAATGGAAGATGACGCCGTCTCTCCGGACACTTGTCAGCTGCTCCTTGATTTCACCAATATTCATTTTTAACTTTAACTTGTTTGCAAAATGCCTACATGTAGTTAATGCATTGGTAAATTCTGTGAATTTAGTAATAAATTTAGAGGGGCCAAATGAAGACAATCATGGCGTTCTATAGGAGAAAATCCTCAGCTTCCACGCCCTCATCCCCACACTGTGATTGGACGATTTTGAACAATCCCTCAAGTGTTTGCTCACACTCTCAAGGATGCAATCTGCCCATTTTAAGGTGAAGGTTCAGTGTTTTCTCATGCAGGAACACTGCAGACACAGAGAGGAGTCAATGGATATGTCACCTCGCAGGTTAACAGGTGAGTGTGGCTTGTCCTTAACCTAGAACTCGTAGCATTTGAATTTAAACAGAGAATGCACAGTTTTATGGAAATATCTGTACCAGAGTTTGCTGCTTAGACTTTGTGATAAAAGTCCAGGATGCATTCTGACTCCTTATTTACATGTCGACCATTTAAATAGAGATAGTGTTTTGACGTCCACTTGTTGGCACGCAGGGCAGCCATTTTTCACTGCAGTTGCCCGGCAAAACTCTAACAGAACGAAATAGGAAATTAGATTAGTGACAGCAAAGCTGATACACATCTCAGTTCAGAGAAGTTGCATCCAGACAAGACTGCGGTTCTGTTGAAAGAGGTATGAGGCTTTGTTTAACATAATAAAAGCTAAAAGGCACACGTTAGAGAGATATGTTTTAAAAATAGCATAGTTTAATCTTCCAAGTTTGTATATTTTTAAAATGTAACAGTTTTGTTTCACAGGTAGAGATTAAATTGTATCTACTGTAATTCATCAAGAGATCTATATATCTATATCTATGTATATATATTATATATTTTAAATATTGTATTTATTTATAATACTATAAAGAATGCTTGGATGAGTTTATGTTTTAAACCGAAGATAAAGTTTTTTTTAACTTTGACGTGTAAAGGAAGTTGCAAAACATTTCCCTGCAGCGTAACACCAACGAGTCCTAATATATACTTTTAAAAAAAGACATTTTAAAGGTAAAGGTAATTTTATTTATATAGCACATTTGCAATACAAAGTGCCTTGTTAGCGTATTGTGTCTTCATTTAAATTAATGAAAACTCAATGTGTTTTATTTCACACGAAGCTCCTTCGTGGAAACTGAACGAAAAAGATAAATTCTTTAGTAACACAAGAAACCAGGATGAATAAATATGAATGAAATGAGGTAACAGATTAGATTTAATTAAATGTCTCATATGAACTGTTGTTTGATATTCCATGGAGTAATGAGGCAAAAAGGAATAAAAACAATTCTTACACAATAAAACTGATAACAAGGCTATGCTGGATCAATTTTATTACAACATTCATGTGCTGTACGTGACTAATGTGTATCACACACAAACAGAAAATAAAATTATATTAAAATATGCCTCTTGTAAATTTGGAGCTTACACGGCATCAAAGATAACTCCGAATTAATTTTGCATGTGGAAATGTGAATTGTCACTGAAGCAGCACGATAGATTTAAATGGTGTTGTTAACATGAAACTGAAAATAATTTCATAAACAGTGCAATGGTTGATATCTAATTCAAATTATAAGGGGAATCAAACTAAGTTATCTCTAATACAACAAATTAATGTTACAAGTTGAAGGAAATTAACTCTTATGATCTGTTTTTAATATGACCTCAACTTCCTTTTAACGTTACTTTAAGAGTTTTGTCACAACTGTGGACAGCTGTGTTTCTACTACTGCATTTGACTTCTGCTTACTATACATGTGTGCTTTCTGCAAGTAGAAGAAATGACAGAGCAATGTTTGAATACAAGCTCACACTTTAAGCACCCACGTGCTACACTAAGACACTTTTAAATAAAAGGACTTCGCAAAATATTTTCATGGTCTGTTCATCTTGCTTGTAATTTGAAAAAAAAAAAAAACAAACAAAATGATGGTAAGAGATAAATTTATGAGGATTTAAGGAAAGATAACTGTATTCAATAATGAAAGAATTGGGATGTCAGTAAATAGCTTACCAGGGAATTACCATGTTTTATTTCTGGAACATTGAGAAGCCTGGCAGAAATTGTCTGGTTAAGTAATTTGCATTGTTCATCTTTAAATAAACAAAGTAAAAATAAAAGTAAAAGCAAGCATTGGGTAAAAATATGGAAACGTGGTTAAAAATAAATCTTTGGAGAAAGATAGAATAAATATTGTTGGCACTTCAATAGAGATTTGTGGCCCATTGAAAGCAGAACATGAAGAATGACATTGCTAAATGCAGTCCTGGTTTTCCAAAAAATATGTTTTGGCTACAAAAACGTTTTTGGTCTTATGCGACTGAATCGACCTTTTTACACATCTACTGCGTCTTTGACATACGTGGCTTGCATTTTGATCATAATGTCATTAAAATGCACACAGGTGGATCTAGATACTTTAATAAATGAATTCTGAAGACAATTGGTTGTGGAAAGTGAAAAGGGGGCTGAGCACAAATTATGCCACACTTTTCAGATTGAATATATAAAGAAAATCGCGTTTCACGCGTCCACAAATATGAGCTTATTTGTCTTGAAATCTCTATAAAAGTTGCTGCAGTTTGTGGTTCGACTAGAAAGGGCTCTGAATGCTTTTCCATGACAACGTATATCAGGAACAGTTAAACAGTTTCCCTTATCCATATCTACACAAGGTGAAGTTATATGACATAAAAAAAGAGAGAGGACACATTTCAGATGTGATGTTACACATAGATCCTTCCAACTCATCTGAAACGGAGTTTAATTTTTGTTTGATTTAAACGTGTGTACTGATTTGTTGTTTAACAGAGCTCTGTCCTTCTGCCTGATCCGACCAGCCGACATGGAGGGTTTTGACTTGAACATCTCTGGGCTCTACGTCTCTCGGGGATTTACAAATTTCAGTAATGATAAAACCTTATATGAGAACTGCAAACACATCCCAGAAGTTCTTATCTGGTATCTCAGCCTGCAGTTCACCAACATGTTCGTCGGCATCCCGGCCAACATCACAGTGCTGTGGCTCATCCACAAGAGCAAGAGGGATTCCTCCACCTCGGACATCTTCATCGTTCACCTGGCGGTTCTAGACGTGCTGTTCTGTCTCACCCCTCCGCTGGAGCTGGCCTGCATCGTCTTCCTCACCGCCAGCAGCCCCTGGTACATCCTGCGCTTCTTCTACGGCATAAAAGACTTCTCGCCGCTCTTTCTGTCCTGCATCTGCCTGGACCGCTACATCGCCGTGATCCACCCCATCTTCTTCACCAGGCTCAAAGACCGGCAGCACAGGCCGGCGCTGGCCATCGTGGTTTGGCTCATTATCCTGGCCTACGCCTCGGCTAAATGTCCTGGAAACATTCCGGGTTTTGAGCAGGTCTACACGGTGATGATCCTCACAGTGTTTGCTTTCATGGTGTTTTGCAACATGGTGATTCTCTGGGCCCTGAGGCAGTCCAGGCCCGGCCGGGACTCGAAACATCCGGTGAAGAAGAGAGCCTTCAACATGGTTCTGATAATCCTGGCTATCATTGTCTTCAACTACTTCCCTTCTGTTGCATTGTTCCCCTTTAAAGGGTACTTCTCTGAAGACGTATTTCGCTGCTATATACACCATGTCGCTTTTGGCTTGATGGACTTTAGCAGCACCATTCAGCCTATGCTTTATCTATCCAAGGAAAAGTTCCCATGGAGACTCAACTGCTGCAGAACCACAACCAAGGAGACACAAACGAAGTGAGGCCCATTCTTGTATTTCTCATGCTTTACCAGTTATGCGAATGCTCGGATAAATTTGTTTTCTGTCTGCTCTTTCCAGTTCAGACTCACGGGAGATTTGGAACATAACCCAGCACTCCCAGTACGTCAGCGAGGGAAATCTCTGAAGACGCTGCGGATTACAGAACACAGCAAAGAACAGGGGAGGCGTGCGTTTCCAATTTGCCTGTGCAAAAAACACAAAACAGAACCATTTTTGATTACGGTGACATAAATGTGCGACAGTAAACCCACAGCAAGAAATCAAAACAGTTCCCTGTACGTTGCAAAAAATATTGACTCATCAATTATTTATTTTTATTTTGTACTGGGAACTCCTTGTTATTTTTCCAAATTTGTCTTAAACAGTTATTCTGGCTTTCCTGAGTCTTCTTTGGACTTTAACTGATTGTTACTCAATCCAGTGTGACATGTTCCTGAGAGACTCTGCCTTGTTCTATGAATCATTCAGGCATTTAAACGTTTCTAAACTTAAGGAATGAAAGTAAAGATGCAATTTTTAATTGGTCTTCAGGAGGTTTTATAAATAGTAAGCCATCACAACGGCAGAATGTTTTAGCTATTTCTTGTGCTATATCTCTAAAAATGAATAAAGTGGCAATTTCCCCACAGACACAACTACGTAGCTTAAAACATGTTATCTATAGCAAATAATCAACTGATGAGTGATGCGTCTCTCAGTTTCTGTTTTAAGTTTGTCAAAGAGACATGAAAAATCAGCCAAAGTCCAAAGAAGACCTTCCAATAGGAAGTGTGAATAGGCACATATGAAGAAAGTCTTCTTTATGGAACGAATAGAAGAAGAATGTTATAGACCTTTAACAAATAAACATTCTGTAATGGAAAATATGGAACTGTGTACTGGTTTCCATTGTTTCATGAAGAAACTCTATAAATAGTTATTTTATGCTTCAGATCAAATACTTCTGAAATCTTCAGACAATATCTGATATTATTCTATATGTGCTTTTCAACAAACTATGTTATAGGTCAATACATGTAAAAATTTCCATAATGTAATTACTAGTATCAATGTTAACTCAGGAGGATTTTGGGACTGCAGCATCCTTGTGGAACCTATAAGCAATTTTACAGGAGCAGAAGCAAGGAGATGCTAATTTCTGTGAGCAGAAATGCTGTTAGCTTCAGCTCTGTTTTAAAGAAGGACACGAATAAAAATAACACAGCTCAAACCAAACCCCCTGTTTAGCACTGTAGCGTAGCTAGCTCATGCAAGACATTAGAAAAGTAGAAGTGTCATTGTTTCCACAAGACATTGTTCAGTATTTTAGGTAACACAAAGTATGCTGAAACCCCCCCCCACTTTATTACTTCCGTTATGTGTCGAATAAATGTTGAATTTTTTTATTTTTTTGCACATCTTACAGATTTTTTCTTTTTGTTCCTATTATGTTAAGAAGCGAGTGACTCATGCTGTTGAGAAATATGAATTTAAAAACTGGATTGTTCTGCTTTTTGGATGTATTATATAAATCCAATTAAAAAACCCAACAATGCTTGCCATTTTCTGAGAGTGAACTGCAGCAGCAGAGATCGGCACAAAGCCATTTTCTAGGTCTGGTTGTAAAATGGAGCAGGTGTAGCTTCAGCCTTTTGTAATGTGTTTGTTTTTGACATTGTATTTATTTTCTTGTTTGCTACTTATCCAGATCTTGTATGTCCTCACAAGGCCCGGTTGTGGCAGAATGTATTGATAAAACCCATTAATGAACTGCTTCTGCATTTGATCTTAAAATTAATTAACATTGAACATTTTTCACATTTATGTAATTTGGCAGAATAGAAATAAAAACTGTCCCATATGCAGGGCTGCGGTCGGTTGTTTGATTCCTGACCCTCGGTTATTTTCTGCACATTTTCCCATTTTTCGTCTTTGCCTTTCTTGTTGTTAAGCAGCTAATAAATGAAAGCTTCTAGACGTGCGAGACTTCTAAAAGCAGAACTTGTTTCCACAATGAGTCAACAGTAAATCAACCAATAGATTTGGTTTTGCTCGCCTAAATTTTTTTACAAATATTTTTACTGACATTCACAAACTTTAAAATCGCTGCCTTTCATGTGAAACACAAACAAATTGCTGAAGCATCTACAGCAGATCCATCGTTGTATTCTGACGGGACAAATTTGATGACGTTTTGATTCTGTTCCTGAAAAATCTTAGCAATACTTCAGCAGCACATTAATTTGATGTTGCACAAGCCACATGCATAACTATTACCTTTTTTTCATCAGCATTTTTTCCCCACTAGGGGAGCATTAGAATTAGGTTTTTGATACTCCAACATTTGGTCCTGGCATGCTTCTCATTCTTATAAACCTCTAATAAATATTAGGTGTGTACAAAATTTTCACACTATAATTTAAAAAAAGGAAATGAGACAAAAAAACAACAACCTTTTGACTAATATATTTAAATGAGACAAAAATCACAATGACAGCTTTCAGATTTAATACATCATGCTACATTATGTAATTGTACATTTACTACAACAAGCAAAAGCCCTCTCATTCACAGAGCAGGTCACTGTTTCTGGTATCACAGCAGAGACAATAAAAACATCTTCCAGCAGCTCAACATTTACTGAAATCAACAGAATTTGGCACAGATACGAAGACGAATATTAAACATTTTCATAAAAGCTGACAACATCATTAAACAAGTCTACTCTTACAATCTTATTGTATGAAGCCACACAGCTTATAATCAAGTCACTTACATCAGAGGTGTAAATATGTAAAAAAAAAAAAAGCATTCAGTCATTTCTTTGATTTAATGCTTTGAAGATTTAATAACAAAATCACCATTTTTAAAAGGTTTCTTTTGGTGGTGCTACAACAGGAAAGACAAAGAAAGGGAGCAGCTTTTGTAAATAAAGTAGTAAAATATGCCAAACACTCAAACTGATTTAAAACTAACTCTTCAGGAGTGAATCCTTTCCTGTTTCTCTGTTATTCACAGACTTTTACACAACTGCGTATTAGGGCAATTGTAAAAAAAAAAAAAAAAAAAAAAAAGGGGGGAAATTTCTGCCAAAAAAAACTCAGAAATTTTAGATTAATATCAGAAATTTTCTAGAAAAAACAAAGAGATTTCCAAAGGTCAAAAATTGTTGACTTTTGAAACTCACAAATTGTAAAAATTTTTTTTTTCTAGAACATTTTAGAATATTTTTTTCTGGCAAATTTTGAACAAGTTTTTTTCTAGAATTTTTCTGAGAAAAATCTCAAGAATTTTTTTGGGGGGGAAATTTATTCCTTTTTTTTCTCTCTCTTCAGTGGCCCTGATGTGCCGCTGTACTTCTAGGCCAACTGGTTTAAGTTTCTGTCACATCTTGAAGTGTCCCAGACACAGAGACTCCAGCCTCACTCGTACTTCCTGCGCTCTGCAGGGTGCGCTCCTGCGACGCGTGAATCTTGAGGTGCTTCCTCAAGCTGGAATTATCGGCGTAGGCCTTCCCGCACTGACCGCAGCAGAAAAGCTTCTCCTTTGTGTGCACCAGCTCGTGTCTCCTCAGATGACAGGACCTCCTGAAGCTTTTCCCGCAGGACGCGCAGCTGTACTCCTTCTCCCCCGTGTGGGTCTTCTGGTGCAGCTTCAGGCTGCTGGCCACCGTGAATTTCTTGCCGCACTCGTCGCAGCCGTACGGCCGTTCTCCTGTGTGCATCCGCATGTGGATCTTGAGGTGTCCGGTCTGACTAAAGGTCTTTCTGCACAGCTCGCAGCTGTACGGCCTCTCCCCCGTGTGGCTCCTGTAATGTGTTTTGAGGTCGCCGAGGCTGTTGAACCTCTTGCAGCACTGGGCGCAGCCGTAGGGTCGCTCGCCCGTGTGGATCCTCTCGTGCATCCGCAGGTTTCCGACGTTTCGGAACGTTTTGCCGCACTGCCGGCACCCGTACGGCTTCTCCCCGGTGTGAGTCCTCAGGTGGACCTTGAGCTGGGTGTTCTCGTTGAAGCGCTTCTCGCAGTACGAGCAGGCGTAGGGCTTCTCACCGGTGTGGATCCTCCTGTGCACCCTGAGCTGGCTGGGGTGGGCGTAGGTCTTGCTGCAGACGTTGCAGCCGTACGGTCTTTCTCCTGTGTGAATGCGCCGGTGGGATAAGAGGAGGTCGGCACGCTTGTAGTGTTTCCCACAAAGGTCGCAGCTGTGAACTTTACTATTGCTGCTGTGAGCTTCGACGTGAAGATTGAGCAAAGCTGCTTCGCTGAATGTCTTCAGACAGGTTGGGCAGTGTAAAAGGTTGACGCTTTGTTCTTGGGTCTCGTCTTCAGCAACAACGGGTGAATCGCTTTGCTCCAAACTTATTTCTTCTTGCTCCGTTTCTTGGATGCGCGTTCCCTCCATCCATCTCTGGTCCGACTCTGATTCCTGATATTTCAGTTCGTACTTCAACTCTGGGTGAGTCAAACTTTCACCGTTAGCGTCCTCCTCTTTCTCAACCTTGATGAAATGTCCCTCCTGTGTGTAGCAACCGGAAACAACGGTGACTTTAACGCCACACTCACTGCCTCTATGGTCAGGGCTTGAAGGATGCAGCTGTTCCTCATCTGTGAATGAATCACCGAAAACGTCTGAGGCCTCATTCTTTACCAGCTTTGCCGTCTGATTCAGAGAAGGCCGGGAGAGGTCGACGGCACCACTTTCTTCCAAATCAGGCTCTGTTTTCACAGGAACTGAGATTCCTACGGACTTGTCAACAGATGACTGTTCTTCTATTTGATCTGTCTGCTGAAAAAATGGAGCAGAGAATGATCTGTCCTTTAGGTTGCTCTTATGTCTCTTCCTTAAGCCTTTCTTGTCACTGCTGCAGATGGACACCTTAAACTTGGTGTGGGTGGAGGTAGAAGGACGACTGTTCCAGTCGGAGGCAGAATCCTCCTCACATCCATCTGAAAAAGTGAAATGAAAACAATGACCAGGTCGGTAAACGTGTAGAATGAATTATGAGTAAAAATCCCACAGACGTGATGCAAAACCCACAGTGGAGTTGTAAGTGTATTTTTCTCCACTAGAGGGCGGCTGTCCCAATTTATTAAATCTCCATGACATTACTAAACTAAAAGGTTTGACATAATCTCAGTGCTCAAGTTTTATCTGATTTAGGGAGATCAGCATTATATGTAGAATCTAAAAAAAAATATCTAATGAGAAGGTGAAATGTGAATTAATGCGAGCAATGTTATAACATAAGAAGCCTGCTTACACACTTTATTTTTTCTATTTCAAACTTAAATAGGACGTCACAGAGGCCCATTTATTTTAGTCGCTATTCAAAAGGAGAAAGATAAGAAAACATAACCTCCAACTATAGCAGAGGTGTGCTAATCTTTGTAAGTCATGGATAGCTTCTAACATAAACCTGCTCAAAGCTGCAGTCAGAAGAATTAATTATTTGCCTAAACATACACACATAAATAAATCTAACCTATTTGGTCAGAAAATATTCTAATGACCAAAAACATTTTTTTATGTTCTGCCAGGCATAGAGTCGATGGAGTATATTTAGAGAAATTAGTGTCACTATTTTTTAAATATAATGTCTGGTTAATAACCATGCTACTGAGAGGGAATATGATGAAAATCAGTATTTGTTTGGGAAATTTGGGAAAACAGTGTTTGTTCTGGTCAAAACGGTTCCATGTGAGATAATAATATACAACTTCCTCACAGTTTATATTTATAACTTTAAGACAGTATGGAAGGATATTGTTAAACGTCGAGCTGTTTTCATAGAGAAATTAATTGCTTATTAGCATTTGGAAGAATTTGCAATTCTTTTTATGTATTTCCCCAAACTGTGATTAATACACGGAACTTTAAGGGTTTGCTGCAATGTGCAGAATGAACTTAAAGAAGATGAGACTTCTGAATCAAAATACGAAGAAACTTAAGCACATTGCAGTCCTCGCAGTGCAGGGCACCAGAGACAGGTCATAAACAAACCGCGGACCTGTGTGGTCAGACTCTGCGCTCCTCTGTGCAAACAGCAGCCGCTTCAGGCCTTCATTCTCGGTCTGGATCGTCTGGATGGCTCCCTGGTACTCAGAGAGGGTCCGCTCCACCGAGTCCAGAATGTCGTTCACCGTCGCTTGAAAAATCCGGTTCAGTGAGGACTCCAGGCACATTTTTAACTCGCTTGTTTTCTCCATTGTCTTTGACTAAAGCGGCTGCAGATAGCCCAGCAGACGCAGACGGGTGGGAAGCAGGAAAAGTGCAGGAGCGGTGTGTGTGTGTGTGTGTGTGTGTGTTTGTGTATGTGCGGAACAGACATAACAGGAAATGCACTCTGTCTCCTCTCAGAAGAGGCGGCGGTTTATTTCTCTTAGAGCTCATAGGTACGTATGCTGCCATCTGCTGTTGTGGAGTAACAAGAAATATGTTTTTACACGTTATCTAAAGTAAAAACCAGTTTCAATAATAACAGAACCTTGAAATACTGGTCATGCAAGGAAGTCTTCATTAGCACACATGCTAATAATTGGTCACAATATAAAGCATTTGTATATAATTGTGACGTTTAAACAACATGTTGCTAGCTGGAAAGTCACTTAGCGGCAATGCTAATGTAACCAGGTTAGTTTAAAACTCTCACATACACCCTAGAAACGGAGCTTCAGCTCTTTAAATGTACTTTAAACTCAAAAACTAGGTTTTTATCAAGCTAAATGCCAAAACTTGTTCCAAAAACAAAACAAAGCAAAAAAAAAAAACAAAAAAACTTCACAACTGATTTAGATACGAGCTAGCAATCGTGGCATCAACAATGCAACTTTCAGTAGTGGGGATATTTTCAAGCAAACAAGGCTTGTAGGTTTTATACATTCCTTTGGCAAACAGTACTACAGTAGTAAGGAGATTTTATTAATTACGCTTGAAAGTACAGCTACAGCAAGTGTACTGCTGACCATACTTGTAGTATGCTAGAATATAGTACATTTATAGGAGATTTCTTTTAAGTTTACAAAAGCATAATGCAAAAAGTACATTCATTCTCTTACTGGTCTATTAGGTATACTTACATTTTAGTTTATTGAAAAATATTTAAAGTTTACCACAAGTACAGTCTCATCTATACCGCCATTGTGCTATTTATATACTGCTATTCCACATTCTAATTTATTCAAGTATATTTAAGTACACTTTAATACTACTAACTCATCGGGGCACTGACCCCCACACTGGAGAAGTTGCTATATATGTAGAAATTATATAGAAATTACTATGTATATGAATAAATTTTCCAAAATGCACTTATGCAAAGTTTATGCAAAACACAAACAGAAAAAAAAACCTACATTTGTATGTTAAAGCGAATTTTCCAGCTGTGTTGCAAAAGATTAATTAATTAAGCAAATTGTGTTTCTTATTTAATAAGTAATTTATTATTAATTATACATCATTTATAGAAAAGGAATTTTTATTTTAAAAATTGTACCAACTAAACCTGATTTAAAAAGTGTCAGGAATTCATCCCAGACTTTCATTTTAAAGCCAACATACCAATTAGAAAATGAGGCGACGATGACTTATGCTAGAATAATCCGAGTAAGGTCTGGTTTTGCCACATTGTCTGGTTGGTTTTGCAGGAATGAATGCTGGCCCCTCCCCTTACCTGACCCGTATCTGTGCGCCTGCATGCCTGTAAGGCCATGGGCGTGTGCAGCGAGGCCTCTCAGGTGTCTTTCAAACTTCTGAGTCATCTGCCAATCAGAAAGCAGCTTTTCTTCCTCTTTGTTACCATTCTCGTCTTTCTTCCTTCATCCTTCCTGTTATTTGCAGCTTAGAGACTAACAGAAAAAAAAAAAAAAAAGTGTAACACACCTCCAGATATGGACAGGAAGCTCAGAGACGGAGGACCAGAACTTACATCTAACTTTATGTGGCGTAAGAGACTAAAGGTTTTCTTGGCTTAAAGAGAGCAGATGTGTGGCTTGTTTGTTAAGCAGAGCAGGTTCAAACACAGTCACTTTGGCGTTACTGGTTTGCTTCAGGGTGACTGTGAATGCACAGCGGCAGACCCGCAGCAACACGGCGGTGCTTTTCCCTCCCACAAGTCTTGACTTAAAACCTCACAAGCTGGTTGATCATATGATGTTGCTTTCAAGCACCCGGAGGGGGTAAGTCATGCTTTTACAGTCTAATAAATTCCTCACAGAGATGTTCTTGTTCTAATTCTTGCTCAAGCTTATGTCTGTATGTATCATATTCACTGATGCAGACTTGCTAGTTTTTTGTTTTGTTTTTTTAACTGCTGTAGAAGATCTATTATGCTTCATTGTTATTTACAAATTTCACAACTTTAACTTTACCTCTAACAGGTTGTTCCTCTTTTCATTTTTTCCCCCTCTGGCATCAATATTTAATTTCATACTTCCTAAACTGGTGATGTGCTGCAGTAACTTCCTATTCTGTGAAACTTTTAATTGTTAACCTCTGTCGACAAGGTGGAGTTGAATCTGGGCTTTGTGTTTCCTGTCATATTCTTGTGTGTTTTATTTCAAAAACTGTCAAATTTCCACTATTGAAAGCTTCATAATCAGATAAGGGTTTCATTGTGTTTTTATGATTCACAAAGATACAATTGTTGTAATGTGAAACATTCTTTCTTTTTTTAATCATTTCAGTCATGTTTTGTGTTTACAGTTTTACCTCAATGCATTGCAATTTTTTTTAAAAAAAAAGTCTGCTCTTTTTTATTTACTTTGTTACTGAAAAAAAAAAACTTTAATTTTTACACGTCAAACTAATTTATTTCGATCTATTCTTCTCTGTTAATCGTAGTTAACTCCTGTTGCATTTGTTGCACTCTGACAGGAACTGAGAACTTCGCACCCACACAGGAAATGTGGTCAAGGTCTGTCCCGGATGTTGGCTGACATGACATGAATGAAATAATAAAAGAAAGACAGAAACGTTTTAAAAACGAGCGAGAGAGAAGGAGATCGTGTTTTAAACTGAGATTATATAGAAAATCAAAAATCTGATATATAACATCTGACGTTTTCCCGTTACGGGTCGCTGCCGGTGTTTGTGTTCACAACACACTCTGAAGTCAAGTTCACCAGACAGACATCTTGCATGTGTCGCAGCGCGTGGTGATAAAATGATAAACAGAGGACAAAATGGTTGAACTGCAGCCCCAGAACCCCACCCCGTCTCCACCGAATCTCCGTCCATCATACAGCGTACACCCCGTCACTCCGCTTCCTTCTGCTGCTCGTTTGCTCAGCTCAGCTGTCTTTCTTGTTTTTTTGGTCTCAGGAAGTAAAAATGGGCTTTTGTGTCACTTAACTTCAAGGTGTCTTGCACGGCACGCTGGCAGAAGCGGCAAATTAAAAGTGGCTTTAGACGTATAAACAAAATAGATTAGCTGGAGACATGATGATGTTCAGGATCGCAGAGGCATTCATTCCTCTTCAAGCCTTTTCGTGTTTTGTCACAACCACAAAACAAAATCAAGCAGTGCAAGATTATGAAGTGAAAGGATATGAATACTCCTCTTTCAGTTTTGTTTTTTACAATAAAAACATCTAAAAAAGAATGCATTTTCTCCCACTCCTACTCCTCAACCCTCCGCTTGAGGCAGCATTTTTTTGGATCCGTCTGTCATCACAGTTGGAGATGCGGGTAGTTTTGTGATATGTATCAACTACTTTACAAGTTGAGCAAGATTCTAAATACCCAAATTTTAGTCAGATTAGATGGATGGTATGTTTTAAGGTTGATTTTGAAATCTTACCACAGATCTTTAGCTGGATTTTCGTTTGAACTTTGACTGGGCCATTCTACTCCTTAGGTACACTTTGATTTTTACAAAAATCAAAAGTAGCTCTGTCTGTCTGTTTACGGTCATCGTCCTGTTGGAAGGTAAACATCCACGTTGGTTTTCTCCCAAACTCTTTCTTCTGCATGAATTATTGCAAAATGGCAGTGGGATGACGTATCTTTTTTTATTTATTCCTTTGCTTTTTATGTATTTTTCTTCTTCCCACTTTCCCAAAAATCCAGGTTTGTGGAGAGTATGACTAATTAAATCCCCACAAATTACAATAAACTTTGTGATTGTAATGAACACTTTTGGAGGGCGCGATGGGAATGCTTTTTGTCTGTCGAATATTTAAATCCTCCTTAGGATATATTTTCTTAACCAGTTTTGCTTTTGCTTTTGATCATCCATTCGATTCAACTGGCTGCACAGTTGATTCAAATTTAGAGGAAATTATTTGTTTCATCCGAGTTCAAATTAAAATCTTTCTACTTTTCTTTTTTTTTTTTTAATCCAACAGAGATGGCACCTTGTAAAAGCATCAGGCCTAATCCGGCAGGGGAGGACGTTTTGTGAATAAACAGCTTTGTCACCCCTCTCTAAACTTGACAAAAAGCTGGCAACTTCACTGCCTGCGAGGCGCCGATGGAGGAGGAGAACCTCTGTGCTTCTCTGCCGGATGTTGTAGAAGCAGAATTGCCGCGTGACTCGCAGGCCTCAGCGGATCAGAGCGCAAATGGAGAACGCGGGGAGCCGGGGTCTGGCGATGAGGCAGAGATGAGCGAGACGCACACCTCTCCCGAAGAGGCAGAGCAGCCGGAGGAAACTTTCTGGACCCTGCAGGCCGTCACCTGCACCAGCTCCTCTCTTTCCTTCGCCAGTGTGGGATGGGACATGCCCATCTCCTCCGCGGAGACGACTGACAGCAGCTTGGCCAATCAGCTTTACTCCGAGGGCGTGACTCTGAGTCTGAGCAGCACTTCCTCCTCTCATCACCATCAGCCTCAAGATGTTACTGCCGAGCCTTGCGAGCAGGAGGACAAAGAGGAACCAGATGAGGCTGAGGCACGGCCTCTACACCCAGCTACCGAGGGTGCCGGAAATGACTATAAGGTATGAAATGTGTCAGAAAAAGAGGAGGCGTGACACTTTCCTGCCTCTGTTACTCTTTACTGACAATTTAATCCACATCTAAAAGTGAATCATGTCATTAAGCCTAATTTTACTGGATTTAAGAGTTTACATCCTGTGTTTTTGTTGCTAATTTGGGTTTCTGTGGTTGATGTGGGAGTAAATGAGCATGTGTGTTGTTCAGCTCCATGAACTCAGAGGGAATCACAAGTTTCTCTCTGTAAGCTCGCGCTCAGCAGCCTGTGTTGCAATTTTCAGCCATGTGATGCTGCAGATGAGAACGAGCCAACGAAACAGGAAAAGGAAGAATCAGCAGCAGAGCAGCCTGAAAGTAACACCGGTATGTATCAGAGCAGCTCCGTTACATTCGCTTTAGTTGGAGATTATTTATG